TTATAACCTTTGATGTCCCGAGATGTGCGTCCTTTTGTTGAATTACCTTGGTATGATAAATAGAAGAATGATAAGGGACAGGCATAGAACCACACGGAGAAGGACAACGGAGAAAGAAGGAGCGATGTATTTCGGTGAAAAGGTTGGGGTGCGACAGTAGACTGTGACCAAAGATACGAAGAAGTGGGAAAATATCACTCTCAACAAAGCCACACTTAAATATAAAGTTGCGGTAAAAGGTAAGACGGAATAGTAAGTAAGATCAAATAAACATAAGCCATGAAATTTCCTAATCTGATCTTGGAGCTGATGTATGTAATGTATACATCTGTGTGAATATTTACTTACAACTTAACTCCTTTAAGTATTAGCTTGATATCACTGTCATCGTCAGGGTGTATAGACAAGAACGATAATGTGCGCATGATGGGAAATGAAGCGCCGTCGACTTCCAGTTGACGTCCTATCTGAAACTACTCACCATGTTGCTAAAAAACAAAAAAAAAACAAATGCAAAATAATTTTACTTTAAATATAAAACTATTCAACATACATAAACGACTATCGCTTCTGTTAAAACATTCTTTACGTTGACTTAAAAAATAACTCGAAAACGGATATATTATGTTATTATGTTTAAAGGTTTTCTTCACCTTTAAGACGTCGAAATCTTTCACGGTAGGAAACTCTTCCACCAGACACTTTTCGGTTCCTAGTTTGGAAAAGACAATGTCATGTTATTTACTTGTTGTCTTTAATCCTCCAAAAATACATTTGGAAATACCTCTTTTTAAAAAGGTGAAAAGACACTAAGAATATAGGCCTACTAAGAAGGTTGGGTTACGAAAACGGATGAAAAAAAGAACCCCCTCAGCGACACGCATACTTACATAATGTATTAAGCGTAGTTGAATGAAACCATAAAAAGACAGGAAATATGAATAAATGAATGAATGGATGAATGTATTAATGAATAAATGAATTACCAAATGAATGAATAAATGCAACATGCATACTCACATAATTAATAAAGGTATTGCATACAACCTCGTCATAACGAAGGGCTAAGAAACAAAAATGAATAAATGATTGAATGATCAAATTAGTGAACAAACGAATGAATGAACGAACGAAGGAACAAAGGAATTAACAAACGAATGGACAGATAATGGATTGATGGATGAAATTATGGAGGAAGAATCCGCAACTACCGCTATTTATTAATATTATGTGATGAACTACTGATTTATCGATCGTTGTCGATGCATGAAGATACAGCCGACCGTAATCCTGGAAGCAAATGCCAAATTGAAACAGTTATGCCTTTTCCGGGACGATAATCCGTTATTTCAGTATTTTATAATAAAGTTCGTTATGTAAAATTACCGTATTCTATAAGCTAGATTTTCTGAACTGCTATATAATTTTTTATTAACTCACCCAACGGAAATCTTCTTTCTTCTGAATACAAAAAAAAAATAATAAAAGTTTGGGTATGAACGGTGTATATTGACACTTACAAACGCATCAATAACTCCAAGCGGCTTAACAGATTTGACAGTTGAATTTTATGAAAAATGCTATTATTTGACGACATAACTTACCTGGTTTTGTTAAGATGATATCATCGGGTTCGATGCAAAGCAAAGGTAGAAGTTCGTTGACCCGATCCATGTACCTCTGTGATAAGTTTTCCTGGCGCCCCATCACGTACACAGTGTTTTCACTGTGTGAACATGTGCCGTCTTCATGAGTTTTGCAGCCATATACTAGTGCATATTGTCATAATCAGTTTCGATTATCCACTATGGGGCTAAATCAAAGTATAACTTTAATTAAGTTTCATACTTTGCAAAAGTATCAAATAATTAGGTGGAATTTTTATTGAACGATCATTCAGTATTCAAAGTAGTTCGCGTGTAATACGAAATAAATGAAAAATAAATAACGATGTCCACAAACGGTGCCTATACATATATGTGAATACTAACCCAGAAAATACCTTCACTGAAATATGTTGTGTATTATTACTGAAATTAAAACTATTAAAACAAATTCTAAACATCGAAATAATTTAATGATCAATATGTTTACTATTGTCATGTCGACTTACGATATATTTTTTAAAATCACAGTTAGCCCTACATTAAATTATGACAAGCAAAACGATAAATAAATACGGTAGGTCTATTATGTCGTACAAATATTATGATTAGGCCTATAAATGTAATGACGCAAATATATGAATTTCGCACCAGTTCTACTTTCACCGTCACCAACTGGGTCAAATGTGACCGTCCATTGAGCACCGTTGGTCGTAGCAACTCCATTCACGGTCACATCCATACATTTGTTAAAACTGAAAAAATAATCGTGTACGGTCTATAATATCGTTAACTCTGATGTTATAAATAAATAGTAGACTGCAATTGTGATACGATACGATCCAATACCATACGATACACTAGGCTTAGCTTAAGCTTCACTGCATCATTATTGTTACGGTACGGAACGGCCAGGGATGGCGCCAAGATTGCTCGGCGGGAGTATGATGTCCCCGATGGGATAAGGTGTCCTTGATGAGAGCAAAGTGGGCGTAATTGGGTGTTGCTCAAAATCTGTGGTCCAGGGGCGAAGCACCAGCCAGAAAAATATGACAATTTAGGTGTTTGGAAAGCACATTTAATGAGCTACTAATATGTAAAACATACATATATATATTTTTCTCCTCAACAAATTATAGACTATAATTGGCCACTTGATGCCCATGGCAAGTAACCGGATTCCCAAACATTTTTATAATTGGAACCCCACACATGAAAAAACAGGATCTAGACTCTTGGGTATAGGTGGACTGTAGAGGAAGCAGAGATCATGTGCAGAACCGAAAGATACGGAAATTCTCGCAAATCAGGCAGTAGGCCTCGGTAAGTGCAGAAATGCATGATGCTGTTCAGTAAGTAAGACAATTATTATTTTTCTCCTCGGCAAGAGGGAGGGCAGCCCTCACGGCACCCCTGGGAACGGCACGGAGCGGGCCGGCACATCACCTAGTTGCTGTGTACCGTACTCCTATCTGAAAGGTCCACTGATTAATCTCAGATAAGAAAGTATAATACATACTCCAAGTATTGAAATGCACGCCATCGTGTTGGGATTTAATATTTTGACATTAATTATGTCATCATCCCGATGATGACATAATTAATGTAGGATTATTTAATCCCAACACGATTTCGTTTCAATACTCGGAGTATCTACTGACTGACTGACTCCCATATCCTGAGCAATTAAATTTTAATTTCCTTGATTCTTGATATTTTTTATGTCGTTGATGACAAAAAAAATGGCCAATAAAACATTACTATCAGTTAAAATTGAGAAGATATTATTTAAAAAAATAAGATAAGTTAAAATTGCTTAAACTACACAATTAAGATAGGAAAAATACAATTCAATTCACATTAATATTAAAATTATTGGTTCTATTATTATTATGTATTTTATGTATTTTTATCTCTCCGTTTCGGAGGTTTTGAAATAAAATAGAAATTAGGAGAATCAGCTAAGTAATCAAATGATGTCAAAATGTCTCACTTTTCACTGATTTACAGATGTTATATGCTTTAGATTTACTAAAAACCATCATCGATTACCAATGTAAGGATTTTATAATAATGAAATGACATTTTGAAACCAACAAAATGGTAGTCACGTTCTCATATCTTATTTAATTGGTTGATATGGTTACAATATAAGTCTTCAATGAACATTATTTACTTGATGTGGCTTTAATTTCGTCTACGCCAACATCTTCGATGTGTATGCGAAATTTGCCTTCACGTTTACTTGGATCAACAAGTCGACCATGAGCTAATATTTTTTCTGGAACACACTTCCCG